ATGCTTTTGAGCCCATCAAGAACTTGGATCACACGTGATCAACTGTTGCGGTGCGGATGGGAGCCGAGTGCCGAGTGCCGAGTGCCGAGCGAGCGAGGGCCGAGACTCGGCACTCGGCCGATGCCCGCGCCGATGCTCGCAAAGTTGCGCTTTGTGAGCTGCAGATTTACATTTCCTCGCGATGCTCGGGGACACGAAAGCTTCGACAGTCACACACGACACCACGCTTTCTCGAGATACGGCGCAGCGCAAAGATCCACTCGATCATCTCACGGCAACGGCGACCCATCATCTCTTTCAGGAGCGGCCCTTCGTCGCAGCAGTCAGCATGTCATCCTCCTCTCCCACAGAAGCACCCCTCATTCAGCTTGGCAACTCCTACAGAGGTGCTGGTAAACGCGAGTCATCGTCCAGCGATGCCAAACAGCAGCATAGGCACGCCATCAAGCAAGTCGCTGCGGGAGAGCAAAAGCTGGATGGCTGGAGCGTTGCCATAGATGTGGTGGCCAGCGGACTGTGTGGCACCGACTTGCACTACCTCGGCCACGATATTGGTCTGGGTCACGAGGGTGTGGGCGTTGTGTCTGCCTTGGGATCCGCCCTGCTGCAAGACGATGGCGCGGAAGCCAAAAAGCTCGGCTTGAAGGTGGGAAGCAGAGTTGGCTGGGGCTACGTGCAAGGCGCATGCTTGGCCTGCTTGCCGTGTGTTCAGGGAGTCGACACAATGTGAGCGCATTGCTTGCATCGCCGTATCGCAAGCTTAGATGACCAGTCCTTGACTGCGCCCCACTTGGCATGCTCAACCTTACCACACCTCTTTTTGTTTCAAATCTACAGGTGCCGGACTCGCAAACTCTATGGCGTTGCCAACAAGCATCAGGGCAGCATCGGTGACGCCTACGTCGTCGACGCCCGCTTCGTACACCTCATCCCTGACGCGCTGCCTCTCGTGTATGCCGCCCCTCTGCAATGTGCTGGCGCGACAGTCTTTGGTGTGAGTGCATTGCTCACATAAGCATCGCAAATCCTTCTCACACGCATGCGTTGTGCACCACATCTGCAGGCCATACATGCCTGTGCGGATCTAAAGCCGTGGCACCGCATAGGAGTGCTAGCTATAGGCGGCTTGGGCCACTTGGCAATTCAGTACCTGTCCAAGATGGGTTGTCACGTGGTCGTCTTCTCCACCTCGGACTCCAAACGGGAGGAGGCGTTTAAGCTCGGAGCGTCCGAATTTGTGGCTACCGGAAGAGACAACAAGGAACTCAAGTCTGCGATTAAAAGCGCAGATTGGAAAGGTAGTGTGGACTACCTCTTTGTCGCTAGCAGCGTCCAACCGGACTGGTGAGCGCAGGATGGGCTTTTGCTCATAACGCATTGTGGCCTTACAGAAGCTCTGCCTGCACAGGGATACGTATCTACACCCTCGCATTCTCTCTTCGCGAGCCACAGTCATCCCGCTGAGCGTCAGCGCAGATGCTCTCCACATCAAAGGATACCAGCAGCTGATTTCCAAAGAAATTCGTATTCAAGGCTCCATGGTTGCCAGTCGGGCCGTGCATCGAATCATGCTCGACTTCAGCGCCCGAACGCGCTCGTGGCCGTGGATCGAGCTGCTGCCCATGTCGCCTGAAGGTGTAGAAGAAGCGGTTAATCGGCGTGAGTAAACCATAGACGTGCGGTCTCCGATTTCGCTCGTAACTTACATATACTGAAATGGTGCAACATCTCTGTGTCTCGCAGTCGACGCTGGACAGGTCCGGTATCGCTTCGTCCTGCAACATCCGACACACAAGGACCCGCTCTTTCCGGACCATGTTCCTGGGCCCGCCTTGCAGAATAAAATCTGATCTGCCAGCCGCGTCTCCTGAACTTCATGTATCTGCTATCCGTCACTGGCATGGTCTTCACTCGTTGCAGAAGTAATTTGAGCTAGCATGATGACGGTGGGCTGAACGCGGCTGCGATCCGCCTGAAGGGTGATTCTGGACTCCACCGCGTGCTAAAATCACCCAGCGGTACATTTTGGGCTGCACAGGACCACGGCAAGCACACCTTCTTGCATCACTGCATGTGCACACTTTTGAAGGGAAAGCAGCCCAATCTGCACATCATCAAGACCCTGCAAGGGTGAGGTTTTCTGACAGATGACAAGGAGCTGCAGGTTGTTGAGGGCTTGATCATCAAAGCTTGCAATCCTTGTCTGCTCCTCAACACGTTGCGCTTGCTGGCAAAGTGGTGCAGCACAAGGTACGGCAGCCTCACGTTGAGCATAAACGTTTTGGCCATTGCGCGACAAATCTTTGGCCGCATGGGCTTGACCTCAACTTCATTGTTGTGGTTGATGATGAAGCACTTGTCTGAAATGTTGAATGACAGCACAAGGATGCCTTCTGAGGTGCGCACCATGTGCACCAAGTTGCAGAGAGACAATTGTCTCAGCTTTGAAGGAGAGTAGGCCACTAAAATCTGTAGAATGGGTGAGAATGCTTGCCATTTGCAAGCGGTAGCTCAAGAGAGCGCACGTAGATGGAAGCTGGGACTGGTGGATGTTTAGCAGCAACCATATATGCTATGATGCCGGAGATCAAGGCTGGGTAGGTGCCAACATGAGCAAGTTTCTGCTCATTGAGCTTGGTGGCAAATCCCTCTCCATTTTCCCTGAAGCAATCATTGATGAGCATGAGTGCAAAGACCTCCCACCGGCAAGGCTCTTGATACTCAGATGCAAGTACTACAGCCAAGAGAAGCAGGAAGCATTAGAAGAACAAGTGCTCCAGACTGCTGTAGAGTTGGGCTTCCACAACCTCAAAATCAATGCTCACCATCCTGATCTGATGACACTCTGACCTCCCACCTTGCAGTGGGCACTCTTGACTGCTTGCGCCAGGTCGGTCATGGTGTGCAAGACTTGTGGGCAGCAGAGAGCAGCCGTGCAGTTTTTACTTGTCGTGTAGATGCGCATCACGCCAGGGTAATGAATAGCTGCATGGTCATCCATTGTCACTTTACCATTTCCCGGCTCCCTTGCAATCTCGTGTGCAGCGACCCACAGAGGGCAAGCCAGGGAGCGCACTCCCTTTTCAGCGTGCAGCTGCAACAGAGCATAGATTATAAAGAGCTGTTCATTGCCGCTGGCCTTGGCGTCCAAAAGCACTGAAGTGACCACGTGCAGGATGGAAAGTTGGAATGCCTCGATATAGTCCGTCCAGACTTGCTCCAAGGTATTGCCAATGCTCTGCAGTGGTGCAAAGGGGCTCCTTGATACTCTGTGCTTCTGTGCGCTGAAATTGGCGCGGACAGAGATCATGCCATCTTTGCCAAAGCAAATATGGACTGGCACGTCCGCCGTCCGGTTGATCTTGGCAAGGTGCTTGCCCATCCGCTGCACAAGGGGCGCAGGTACCGACCACAAGGGCTGCAGGACTTTTGGCTCTGCATCCGATGGCTGAAAGCCAGCTGCTGCAGGTGGGTTGTTGCAATGAGCATGCTTGACCGCCTGCGCCAGGTCCATGACCGCGTGAGATACCTGCAGGCAACAGAGAGCCGCCGTGCGCTTCTTGGTGGTGGCTGCGTAGATGCGCATCATGCCAGGGTAATGAATGGCTGCATGGTCATCCATCGTCCGTAGGCGTACTGTGAGGGCGTCCCAGTGCTGCAGAAGGAGCGCTTGACCATTCCCCAAGAAGTGGCAGTCCCACATGGTAAAGATCGGATTGGCCAGACCTTCCTCGGATAGCTGCAGAAAGGGCATCCAGCCAATGATGTCGGTGTCCTTTTTGCTGAAATTCTGAGACTTCCTTGCAACGATGAAGGTGTCGGCAAGGTTGCTGGTGGTCGGCACTCCATCCATGAACCCAAGGTTGCCGCTCGCCGACTTGACCCCTTGCTGCACCCTGAACCCCACATGACCAACAATGTGCCAACCAGCCCAAGCATTCTTCAAGGGAAAAGTGAAGTGCTGGCCACCACAGCCAGGAAGGCACAGTCTAGGCTGCTCTGCAACCTGCGCATCCGCTTTGTATCGGTGCTCAAGATCCTGGCTTGCGTTGAAGGTGGGGTTTGAGTCAAACCAATAAAAATAAGAGCCGCTGTCGGTTGTCTGAGGTGCTGGTCCGTCCAAGATATCCCGCAGAGCAGGAGAGAGGGTGGTGACTGGGACTGAGGGTTGCAGGACCATGTGAACAGAGACCGTAAACATCCAAGCAATGATGTGCTCGTGCTCCAGGCGCGTAGCATTGTGACCAAGAGGGATGGCCAAGGAAAGAGAAGTGACCACTGGTACTGGCCAGTCAAGCAAACCAGAGACATGTACAACATTGGGAACAGCGTGGAATGGATGCACCACGGCATTGACTGGAGAGGCGGCGGCAATCTTGCAGCCAAGGTGGGCGAATGCTGGCTCTGACAAAAAGGTGCAACCAGCTGCAACACACTTGCAGTAAAATGTGTCGTAATCTTCTCCACCAGGGATAAAGATTGCAGTCCAGTGGTAGGGAGGAGGCCTGCTGGATTGTCGTGCTGATCCTTGGCTGTCTGCCTCCTCTGCAGCCTCATTGTCCTAACCCACAGAGAGCTGCTGGTGCAGCCATCTCTGGAGCAGACCCAAAAGATCAAGAAATTCACTTGAATGGTGCAATGGACATGCTCACTGCTGCAATCTACCTGGCACATGGCAAAGATCAGTCCACCATGACAGACAAGGAGCGGCTCATCATCATCAACGGCTTCCTGCCACCAGTGTCCCCCAAAGACCAAGCCCACTACTTTGATGTCAACAACAGCACCTTGCCACCACATATCAAACTCAATGGTTGGGGCAGTAGAGAGTATCACATGCTGCTGAGCAACAACATTGTCAGTTGCAATCAAAAATATGCACATTTTGTAGGCCAATACAAGGTGCCTGGGACCGGCAAGCTTGTACCAGGGAGCCAGTGCAGAGCCAACAACACTGAACATTGCAGCCTTCTCTGCGCCACTTGTAGATCCCTCTAACAGTATGCATGGCAGCATCTTGCTTTGTGCAACAGTAGCAAACGGTCTGGCAGGGCCATTTCATAGGCTATTACGCGCATCAGTGCGCTTCAAAGGCTGGACAATCTGCCTCAGCGTCGAAGCCCAACCAGCATCGGAGCGATGTCACCTGACGGGAGCGTAGCGAACACCGAGAAGGCCGCGCTAGGGCTCACGCCGCCTCCTAGCAGCTCTCGACGCCGCACTTCATATCGTAGAGCTTGGCAAGTCGAGACTGTCATGTGGACGCACAGCACATTGAAGCGTGCTGCCAGCTCGAAAGATGCGTATAAGGGCACGCAAAGCGCGTTGAGCACGCGACGGGCATCACGCGACTGTTGAGCTAAACACGTTTTGATCGCCCAGACAAAGGCAGACCGTCTGCTTGAGTCAGGAACGTAATTAGTGCCCATATTTCCCGGGTGCCGTACTTCAGTAGATAGGCTTCGGCATATCAGCCAACTTGACGGTTCTTCGCCTCGTACTGACTTCTAGCGGGGATCATTTAAAGCAGCAGCCTACGATCTTACAACCATGATTGCACGCATCAAGTATCAGCACAATTTCACTTTTTCTAGCCGGTAACGAGGCCGATATCTGTTGGATTACCCCGGACAGATGATTCATATTGCCTTTGACGCTCTTACGGATGATGAACACTGCGCATTCTGCAATGCGATCAAAAAATCGAGATGCAACGCTCCTCAAATTATGTTCAGGTCAGAAAAAAGACAATCAAGTTCTCAGAAGGACGGCAATGTTGCTTATTTCGCGCGCTTTTCGCCGCAGCTGACTAACAACGGGACCATCGCGCATGCGAGGGGAGGCTCGCGGAATGATGGCTGACGTCAGTTTCCGCGTCCAAATTCTCCATGGACTCAGATGGATGAATCTCGATTTGTGCCGGCTATCAACAAATAGTGATTTCGCCAGCGGGTCCACACAGCCAGCAATCACATGATGATGAAAGTCATCTTCTACATAACGGACAGTCAATTGTTTATCAGCAATTCCAGCCGACTCACTTCGATATACATCAAGCTGAGCGTACAAGCGCACGATGCGTTGAGAGCAAAAGACTTTTCGCATCCCAATTGTGTCAAACAGACGTCACTAACTGAGCTTCTACTGGGTGCGAGGGCTGCCGTAGCCTCTGAAGAATAGCAAGTGCTGTCATTCGCGCTAGAAAATCTGACCGCGAATGCTGAGCAATGACGCTGTACCGCGACGAACCAAATTTCTAGTGTCCCAGTTATGAACCAAATTTACGCAAAATCGCTTGTTCACCGGCGCGTAGACATTTGGAAGTCATTGCCGCGTCTCATCGGACGCAATCCAGGTTTCAATTTCCCGACTCTGGACCAAAAACCGGCACAGAGGTCGGACAGATTTTGGACAATTAAGACTTCTCGGAAAGCTCAGTCAGAGTCTTCCGGCCTTGTTGGAGGATAACGTCGATCTTGATAATTTGCACGCGATGTCTCTTCGTCCTCCCTCTGCTCAGAAACGTGGCTATCTCTGAAGCGCCAGATTATCGGTGGTAGCTTCAGAAATACCCCATTTAACTGGAAAATAGCGCTTTATCAGCGATTTCTAACGGACGTCCTTGAGATTTGTTGTTAGATTTACCCTGCAAGAAAAATAGAAATCTGCCCAAGTCTGGTAGGGATCCTGCAGCATGAAGGTCTTTCTGATGAGCGCTTCAGCCGAAAATTTAGTCAAGCCGAATTCCGCAGTAAGACGAAGGGGGCCACCAGATGTCAAACCTACGTGACAGGCAATATTCAGAAAGCGAGGGCCCAAATTTCAGAGCATTTCGATCACCTTGCATGCCATTGAAAGCTTTGTTTTCCTGTCTTGCCCATGAAGACTGCTGGTTTCAAGGCGACAGATCTTCGCAGCATCTTTTGGATCATTTCCCACAAGCATGGGGGCCGAATAGTACCGTACACGGAGTTTTTTGGTCCGCTTTTGTTCAATCATCTTGTATTCGCCGTACATGAAGTGTCTAAGCCAAGGGGTTTGGTCGTGCCGATTCGTGCACTGGTGTTCTATATCTTTTACTTGTCTACAAAGTTGATGAGGAGACACGAGAAAATAAAAATGCAGACCGTTTGGGGCAGCAAAAGCCTTTGAATACTTTGATCTGCGCTTATTGTGAATTGTCGGCCGATTGCCAAGCTCTTCGCTTCTTTGGTCTTTCTCGTTCACGTCCGTATGTGCCAAGTCTTGGCGCTTCATCGCATGCTGTTTGGTTAGTCATTCGAAGACACAAAACAAATAACTATACGCATCACACAGCGGCGCTTGGTTCGTTCCAAATTCCAGAAGATGAACAAGAAGACAAAGATGCGCTGTGGGCTGATTGTGCCAAAAGCCAAAAATACTCCGCATTGAATCGTCGCTCTGGCTAAAGATCACGAAGATTTTGCATTCACATCTTCATCCTTCCGCAAACCCAATTTTGATGATCAGTAGAGTCCGCTTCTCTACCAACTGCGGTCATTAGCTTCTTTACCATACGATTCGAGTATGAAAGCAGTAGCTTCGGAATGATCAAATTTGCCCTTGCTCATAAACATCAGTCACTTACCAGCACGCGTTTGATGAAAATAAAACCGGATTCATAGAAGCCAAACAACTGAGATACAACTTATTCTCGACAAACTTTCAAGCCAATCAAAGCACCGCCAATTCTGCGCGTTCTCGGGTGCGAGATTGACGAAATTGCAGCCTGTTTTTAGTCTGAGACGACTGCATCATCAGATCTTGTGGCCGCGAACAAGAACTTCATCGAACAGTCCACCGTCAAATTGAGAGCCAGATACCTCGTCCTGATCATTTCAATTCGATAGCCTCAAGGCAAAATTCATCTCAGACACCGGCGACAAGCACGAGCGACAATGCTAATTCTGTGACTACTGCTGGATCAAAAGTCTTGAAATGAGGAAAGGCGTCCAACATCGAAAACGCAAATAGCTTTGCGGAGATTCTCTCAACATTTGACCCGCTACCTCAGAGGGGCGCAGCTTGAGCGGTCTATTTGACAGTAGCTCCAACGATGCCAGCGCTCGAGACTGCAATCTTTCAACTCTAAGCGGGCAAGGCCTCGATCCGCGTACGCGCGAACCGTCTTACAGACAGATTCTTTTCGACGATTTGAGGAGTTGTTAGGCTAGCTGTGGGTTAGGGACGGGGAGCAAACCCCGAGTGACACGTGTGACCCCTCTTCGTTGAAAATGAGGTCACAGCTGAGCGCGGAAACAAATCACACGTTGACAAGAGCACTCGATGAGAATGATCAAATTGTTCAGATGTGCAGAAGAAACAACAGGGCCTCTCGAAATGACGAGACGTCTGCCCTCCGTCGACTTCGCGCTCTGTTTTGGTAGAGTCCTCCACAGTAGGCGTCAAGGGTTGACCGCCAGCCATGAACCAATGTTCTTGCGTATTGAAGATCACGAACCTGCGGTAAAGGCGCTGCTGTGAGCACAGAGCGCCTGCTCGATGCTCAACAACCAGAGCACGCACCCACATCATTTATAAGGCTTGATCTGTGGATGCGCGAGTTTGCCGTCCGGCTGTAGCAGCTCGCCCCACTTCTCGATCCGTGTGGTTTCCGGATCAAAGACCATCTTGCCATCTTTGTCAAGCTGGTCGGCTACTTTGCTGGGCTTGATTGAAACGACGCTGTGCGAGCCGTTCTTGATCCACACTTTGTCCTTCAGCTGCGCATCTTTCAGTTCTGGAGGGATGTAAGATGGCTTCCTGGCGCCACCTTTGGCAAAGACATCGGCGAGAGTGGAAGAAACCGAGTGATAGTGCCCGATGAAGGCAGTATTTTTCTCGCCTTGGGACGCCTTGATGATATGGTGCAGACCTTGATGCAATCGAAGGACTTGAGCCTCATGCGTTTCTCGTCCTTCGTGAACCTTCCCTGCTTTCGCATCCTCTGTGAGCTGTTTCAACGGCAGGCCCTCTCCCTTGCCGCGGTCAAGAGTTCGTATCTGTTCTAGTGGGACCAATTTGACGTGCTGGCCGTGCTCCGCCATAGCTCCCTGCATTTCCTCCGCGGTCTGCTTAGCCCTGAGCATAGGCGAGTGATAGATCGTCTTGAATTGGCCTTGGGTGCTGAGATGGTGCCCAAGCTTGCGAGCGTCTTCCCTTCCCTTGTCCGTAAGGATAGTCAATCCTTCGTGCTCATGCACGCCTTGCGAAAGCTTTAATACGTTTGCGTGTGTTTGTTGATGACGGAAGAAATGCACTCGAAGCTCGTCTGTATTGCCTGCACCGACGAGAGCTTTGCCCTTGCTCTTCAGTGCTGCTGCACGGTCAACCCCCAGCCCTCCTAAAGCGTGGATGTCACGGGCAACGAGCATGAGGGTCGCAAACAAGGGCGCAATTGAATACAGCATTGCGAGTCGACGAAAGCCTGAAGAAGAGTACGTTTGAGATGCTTTGACGACCAGCGTCTGGATGGGTGACATAGCAGAATAGAGCGAAGAGCAGCACAACTTGCTTCTTCTTATACTTTTCGATAGCTTGCGAGTGGGTACTCATGAGCGACACCTCCAAAATTCGCACTCCGTCAATACGCGACATTTGCCACACAGATAACCGCTGCACGATGATCCGCTCTCGCGGGTGGCACGAACATGGACTCTGTTTATCAGTGAGGCTGGGCGCCTGTGTTGTCCGCTACCTCAGAACTAGGTTTCCGCAAGCCGGACCACTCTGCTAAGAGATGCTGATTGAGGTCGAGGTGCTGCCATCTCTTCGCCACAGAGGTGAGTCTGGCGTCAAGAAACTCCAGTCGGTGGCGTGGGGCCACGCATGATCGCAGAACACCGCGAGGGTCGCAGAGGACTGAATTGGTGGGGACCCGTCCGGCGAGGTGCGCCAACGCAGCGCGACCTTTCCATCGAGGCGCTGATGGGTGAGCTCAATTTGAGTTTCGTCCAAAATATCTTGGTTCCTTCGCAAGGAAATGACGCAAGACAAGTTTGTACATCATGCCGGTATGGCGGGCGCTACGCTCCGTGATTCCCGATCCAGCTTCCCAGACAAGACGTCGCTCAACCACTCCTTGTGGATCCGCCTCAGACACATAGCCGGATCAATCTCCGCTTCTTGATCGTCGCTTGAGTGCTCATCCCCGTGACCCTGCCCGCTTTTGGGTGGCGTGAGTGGTCTGGCTACCCTGTAGTGGCCACCAGGCATGGCATTGTAGAGCAGCATGGGATCTTTGAGCGTGTCTCGTAGCGCCTCCCACTCTTCCACCAGCTCCTCGGAGGGCAATGGCTGCGAGCACAGCATGACACCGCTGGGCGCATGTAATGCTCGAGTGTGAGCTGCCGAGCTGTCGATGTAGTCGGAGGTGGTGGCGAAAGATGACGTTGAGAAGCGTTGATCCCAGGGTGAACTGGACGTGAGACCGGGCTTGTTTGCGGCCACGCGCTGCAATTGCGTGCCTACGAGCGCCGACCTAGACTCTGGACAGCGCATGGTCAAGCTCTTGATGTTTACTGCTCGCGTGGAGCTGCCAAGCCTGAAACCGGCATCTGTACGGGTGAGTTGTGCAGCATCTCGGTCTTGCTGCTCTGCTTCCAGTGCCCCCGACCGAGCGACGTCTTCAATCACATCGCTGTTGTGGGCAGCGGCAACATCGCGCTGAGCTTGCTCTGCTCCAAGTATGAGCGGGGTGATATCCAACGCTTGAAAGTTGTTGACCAGCGCGTCGAGGGAGGTGTGACCCGGCGGCTGCGGACCCGTGAGGATGCGCAGCATGACATCGACATCTCGCAGAGCCGAATTGTGCTCACGTGGTGAGGTCCACGAGAAATGACGCAGGCCTGAGGAGGCGAAAGGGGACAAGGCGCATGGTAAACCTCTTTGTCATTAGCTGACTGATTGCCTCGCCGCGTGCTGCGCACTCGCACTCACCAGCCATTCCCCTAATCTCCCTTACTTCTTCGTGTGTTAGGCTGCCATCGATGAGGTGGCACGTGGTACACTTGGAGAAGATGGGAGCAGAAAAGCCGCCTACGTACGAGTGAGGGTTGACGCTGGTCAAGCTGCGAGGTTTGCAGCTCGTGCCGTAGCTCGCCGCTGCTTCCTTGTTCAGCAGAGCGCCATCGAGGGCAAGATGCTGCAGCGATCGACAAGCGCGAAGGATCTGCCTGACAAGGCTGTGAGTCTGGGCTGTGGTGCGCATGGTGGGCAACGCAGAAGGCGACAGCGCGGCCCACAGATCCGAAGATAGCGACAAGGGGGCAATGTAGAGCGATCGCACCTTGCGCGCCAGCGATCCCTCGTTGGTGGATGTCGAGCGAGATGCAGGGCCATTGGAAGCGGAAGCAGATGAGATGGCAGCGTGGAAGGATTGGAGAGCAGCGAGACTGGTGAGCGTCACGTGGCGATAGGCGATGGGTTTGAGGAGGCGGGTGAGGGAGGAGCATACAAGCAGCGGGGTCAGTTTGGAGGTGGTGGGCATGTCCAGCAAGCACTCCATCACGACCTCGATCAGCTCCATGGGCAATACAGCCGCATCGGAATCGCGTGTCTTGCCTTGCGGATCGGTCTTCCTTTGCGGTGTGCTGAGCTTGGAGAGAGATGCTGGTAGAGTGTCCTGCTTGACAATCTCTGGCTTTGGCAGCGGACCTCGGCCATGATGGTTGCCGAATCTGGGTGGCGCGGGTCCATTCTGACCAGCCATGGTATGCTACTTCTGCTGCTTTGCTGGCTGCAGAGACTCGTGAGTGAGTTGAGTAGAGATGGTGTTCGCGTCCAAGACGTACGCATTCACATTGACTGGAGCCTTAGCCTTTGGGAGGGCGGACGCATGCAGTCGCTACTCATGACCACCACGCGAACCACCGCCACAACCATTAGGCTCGCAGCTGCCGGGCGAAGCATACCGGTACGCGCGCGCGGCGATCTTGGATGTCATGGATGTGGAGCAGCGCACAGCAGCAGCCGGCCGGTCCCGCGTCTACAGATACCGCGCATCAGCAAGTGGTGTACCGGTAAATAGTTTGATTTCGATTTTTGTTGGTAATCACGATTCAGATTCATATTCAGATTCAAATTCGAAAGTCTGACTCTCGACTCAGATTTGAGCTAGACGTTCGCGCTTCAAATTTGAAAAATAACTTGAGTGTACGTCAAGTTACGTGATCCAAGATTCAAAATTGATTGATACTCGAATATGTGATTCAAGATAAATACGCAGCCGGCGCTTCGGTCTTCAGTCAAGTACCGGTATGAGTCTCGAGTGAACGAGACGTGACAACGGAAGTCCGCGGCGATAGGTCACACTGCATGCCTGCCCGTGGCCAGCGGTCTGAGTACCGTACCGCATAGCAGCGTTCCAATCAGGCGCTCGATTCACAACCTGCAAGCCCCCGTGCTGCATGGGGCCACCTTTCGAAGCCTCGGTCCACCCATCCCTTTTCCTTCTCCTTCATCTCTGAGCACCAAGCAAGCACTAGCCATGCTGTCTCTACAATGAGCAAGGACGCACAGCTATCACAGGCTGCTGGCCGATCAGCGGCAGAGGCGCGCGATGCGCATACAGCCCCCATGGACGTCGCAGGTGCGCTTGGCGCTCACTTGCCCCCGCTCAACGAGGCACATGACCACCTAGACCCATCGCAAGAATTTTCTCCCGACATCTTTCTGCTATCCCGAGCACCTGGTCAGACGCTGAGCAGGATATCATCCGAGCTGCAGTCCTTTGAGTCGCAGCTTCGTGCACAGTTGGAATCCGTCGTGGACAGGGATTTTCGCAAGTTTGTAGATCTGGGCACCAGCTTGAAGGCAGAAGCCCCTCGCATTGCAAGGCTAGCCTGGCACAAGGAGAACGCAGATGATGATGTCGGACCGATTGCGGGCACCTTGGGCTTGAATTCGGTGCGAGGTCGGGTGGAAGAGGTGCGCGACGATTTGAGAGCGGCAGAGAGACAGTTAGAGGACGTGGTGCTGCAGAGGCAAATGGCAGCAGAGAGCAAGGTGAGTTGTGCAAATCCCATCTACTGCGCTCGCTCCTACACAGCGTTGAACGTCGCTGATGCACCCGCGCAGGCTCAATTGACGCTACTACTCAATTTCGAGGAGTGCCTGCAAAGGTTGGAGCAGCTGCTTGGCCTGACATCCCATCATCACCACCAACATCATCGACATCACGACCACCACCACCACAAGGTGCCAGATCACGGCGCAACAGCCTCCCCACTTCATCAGGCGCAAGCACGTCCGTCACTCCGCAGCCCGATAGACGCCGGACCTTTGCGAGCTCACAATCCTTCTCGCTGGACAGCATTGGATGACGCTAGCGATTGGGATGAACATGGCACCATCTCTGCTGATGAGGATTTCTACCAATCACCAGACACCGACGACGAACTTCAAAGTGACGAAGGAGCCATTCAGCACCAATCACCCTCCTCCTCCCCCCGTATGGCCAAGCGAAGTATCTCTTCCGCCCGGAAGGCCCGGCGCAGATCATCTGGTCTCACGCGGCGCTCCTCGGCCGGTGCAGACGCCGCGCTTACCTCCGGCGTCGAGGAAAGCAGCGCAGGTACTACAGCAGATCTCCCTGCTCGCGTGGCCAGGGCTTCTTCAGAGTTCTCTGCGCTCCTCTTTCACAAGCGCGAAGCGCTCACGCGTGGCTTGAGCAGGTTCATCGATGCTCACTGCCAACGCACCGCTTGCGTGGAAGAAAGGTTACGGGTCGATCTCAAAACGCTGATCGAATTGCTCACGAGGTACGATGGTGGGAGTCTGCTCTTGCACTACAGCGCTCGTGCGGGGCGCAGTCCACAAGCTGAGAAGGATGCAGCTGAACTGGAGAGATTCACCCATGTGACCAAGATGGCCGAGCTGGACTCGCAGTATTGGTCGTTGCGCAAGCAGGAACAGCAACGATGGCTTCAACTTGCCGTATCCACCTGGCAATTGCTGCCCGAGCACGAGGGGAAAGATGGCGCGCCGCACCAGCGACAGGAAAATTCTAGCGATCCCTCTGCTCTCGACGGGGTGCGCGGGGTCGCAGAGGTTGTTCGCGAATGCTTGGTCCGACCCTGGGCTGAGAATGTAATCAATTCCAACTCGCTTTCGCTTTCTAGCCTCGAGGTCTCCAATCTACGGACGCCCGTGACGCCCTCTGGGTTTGATGGGGAGCAGGCTTCCGCAGCTGTCCATTCCGAGGAAGCATCGAGCAAGCCTTTGCTACAGCCAGAAGCAACTAGGGAGGCAAATTTGCCCTTGCTCGTGCTTTACAATGAGATTCTGGCCTTTGCCAAGACGGTTGCACACATCGCGGATATTGTCGAGAGAGCACCTCGGCACCAGGCGAAAGCTTTTGCGCCGGCCCTGTCTGTTCCAACGGTCAATCTGTCCCTTTTGCATGGCGCACATCACGCTGTCGGCGCGGACGTACCAAAGCACAACGGCCCCTGCGACGTCTTCGCAAAGTCGCTTTGGGTTGAGGTGGGAAATCGGCTCATGGAGGAGCTGGGCGGACAATTATTCTTTGTCGGCAGACCAGACGTCTTTCATCAGGTAAGTCAACATGCTATTCATGCACTTTGCACGGCACCTCCTCACCTCTCTCGCCCCCCTTCTATCAGAATTTCAGCCTTACCTCAGAATTTCTCGCAAGCTTGCTCATGTTGGCGCCGTCCGCTCGAGCCGCCAATGCCGTTCGTGATCATCCGACATATACGACCTTCAAGAAGCGGTGGCAGCTCTCCGTCTACTTTCAAATCAGGTATCGAGAGATCGTTTCAAAATTAGAACCCAAGCTAGCTGTCGCAGCAGACACTGCACGGACCGGCAACATTTCAATCACACTGCCGCTCATGGTCAGCACCGAGGCCACCGTCGAGGCATTTGTGGCTCCGTGGGCGAAACATATTCGCTTGGATGAACTTGCAGCGAGACAGTGGAGGTTGAGCCTGCAGGTTGTCAGCCGTTACAAAAGTTGGTTGAACGCGGAGCTGCCGGAGGAGCTCCCAAAGCAAGCGGCCAGCCGCTCAACTCCCCTGTCAGCTCACAGCCACCTCAATAGCGGTCAAGAAGAACGCGTGAGTGGACTCGAGGCGGTCGGCTGCTCTCTTCCACCCTTGCTCACGAGCAGATTCTTTTTTTTTTTCTCATGGCCCCCTTCAGCCCGCCTCTCCTATGAGATCTGTGCAGCCTTCTCGAACTGGTACGCCAGCCAATGCCGAGTCGGAAGCTGCCATCGCTGCGGATGATGCGGCTTTGCGGACCCTGACAATTATCACGGCCGACACCCTGTGGCTTCAGCGCGAGCTGTTTGACGCTTTTGACACTCGTATCGTGCCTGTCATTGTGTCGCTCAGCGATGGTTCTTCGGCCTTAGAGCTGGTCAAGGCAATGCGTCGTGAGTTCACGTATTGTAGGCACCGGCAGGTCCCACTTGCTGATCTCAGCTGGTATCTATTCCTTTAGAAACACTCCAGGAAGCTTGTTCCTACCAGGGACAAAGCGTCGCATCTCTGTCTCACAGGATCGTTAGTGTACTAAAAACTCGGTGTGGAGAGCCGCTAAGACTGGTGAGGTCGATGGGCACGCAATACAGAGGCAGCTCTGCTCCAACCTCCAGTCCGTCGAGTGCTAAAGGATTGGAACCATCGTACTTCGTGCCACAAGCCTTGAGACCGCTCAAAACGTATCTTGGCAAGGGAGAGCGAGTTGGAGATACGAATAGCAGCGTAGCGCTCGCGCGACACCTCGACACCGAGACGAGAAGCTCTTGGGCTCAAAATGTCGTCGATGACATCGTTGAACGGTAGGTACACAGGGATCGGATTTGTCTCGAAATGGGCTCACCCATTGACCGCTACCTATCATAAAGGTACACTTCGTCGCTGCAAGCCATGAATCGCAACTATGAGTCGCTCCGAAGGTTGAAGAGAGGCAATCAATCGCTCGGCTTGGGGTCCATTTTTGGCCGCAGCGGGGTGAACAATTCAGATGGCGTAGCGTCAGCGTCAGATCCCGAAGCCGAAAGGATGAGAGCACAAATGCGCGCAGATGTCGAAGCGCTCAGAAGTGAGATTGGCGCGCTGCAAGAAGTGGATACGTTCGTCAAGCTCGACGGGGAGGCTTGGGTTCGACTTAAGGCTGCGGCGGACGGTGCTACTGAAGAAGCTTAATCGCGACTTTCGACATTGCCGTCGATCCCACCTCACGCTTCACGAAGCACACACATGGTCAAAATCCAATTACATGCGATTCCTATTTCACTGGCAGAGCCACTGGAGAGGTGCGCGGTCTTCTTTAAGCAAAGCACTTTTGCCACTCGGTGTCAGTGTTGACCCAGTCGAGTGCCTTGTTCACGCTAGACAGTTTGCAAAGGCCAAGTCTCGATAAAGGGTCAAGGCCGGCATCTGGGCACCAAGACGCGTTGCTTGGAGACTGAATCGCTCCATTTGCTCGGACACGAAGGTAGTCTTGTGACAGTGGCAAGGGCGTGTTAGGCACGCCGCAGGTGATCTTTTCGAACACTGTCGGTGCACGAGTGGACAGAGGAGAGGGAGGGTGAGCAGGCAAGCGAGAAAGATGGAAGAGACGAGAGCAACCTCACCAATTTTGCCTTGCAATGGCGCGATTCTCGAAAAGACCCAGTTGTGAGGGGCCTGTCCGGCGTGGGAGCTGGTCTGGAGCGCTGGCCCGTCAAAAAGGCCGAAAGCTGCCGCAATGGGCCCAACGTCTTGGATAGCCGATGTTGACAGAATGCAAAGTCAGTCACGAGTGCTAGAGCCGCAAGTGTGTCTGTTCAAACTCACTGTTATCGTGAGAGCCATCAAAGAAGACGCTCTTGGCGGGCGGGGTTGGGAAAGTAGCATTGCTGCCGTCGATGGTCGAGTTCAGACTGGTAGGCTTGTCAAGCGCGGGAGGCAGCTTCCCGTTGAATCTAGCCAACAGCTCTCGGATGTACCCTTGACCAAGAGCTTTGTAGTACGGATTGCCGTAGCCCGCTCCAGTCCATTTGCCCACGTCCAGAGCGTAGCCATACAAGGGCCATTCGTCATGATTGAAGATGTTGCACCAGGGCGAAATCTTCCCATTGGGCAGCTGCAGAGATCCAGATTGCACCGTCGAGAGACCCAGAGTCTCGAAGCTGCACTGTTTGCGACGCAAACAAACACTGTCAGTGATCGTTCACCTGCAGTGCGCCCAAACCGCGCTGCATCTCACCAAATTCCCGATGTTCAGAATGTCAGAGTAGGTCAGCGTGACGTTGGCACCACCGGCGTCCTTGATGACTTGTTGCAACCTCGCGCCAATGGTAGGCAACAGAGTCGAAGCTCCATAGCGGCTTTGGGCACCGCTCTCTCGTTGACTGGAGGGGAGGTTGTTCTCATTCGTGCAAGTAGAAACGTCGAGCGTATTGTTCTGACCAGTCAATTCGCTGAACACGACGTCTGGCTCGGTCAGACCGGGAGCCGCGCGGATCTGAGCCGACGTGCTGAAATCACCGGAGGGAAACGGTTTGCCTTCAAAGCCGAGCCTCCAATACTTGGCGGTAACGATGACGCGATCATCGCCAAGCGCTTCGTCGCCAGACGACCTGACGAACAGCTTTGCGCTGCGTCCTGACAAGCCCGGGTAGACTTTTGCGGTGCTCTTGCCAGAGAGATAAGCTTGCAACGCGCCATATGGCACCAGACTGCCAGTCTCGGTGCCAATGGTGTAGTTAGCAATGAAGCGCAGGTTATCAGGCACATTCGTGGCCGGAGAGAGAGCCGTCTTGAGTGTCTTGAGCGTGGCTTGAGCGTTCTTGAGAGCGCCGGAAGTGAAATGACGTGCTCCGTGACGCTCAAGGGATGAGACTGCAGACACTTGGCAGCCCGGAGGGACCAAGGTCGTGTCGTCTTTCACCAAGTAGCGAGGAGAGTATTGACCCTGTGGTCTGATCGAAAGGTGAGTGAGGATGACAGAGGGTGAGGAAGCAACGCACGTTTCGGAGCTCACCATGTAGTGAAAAATGTCGGCAGGGAGGCCATCGTTGAGCTGCTTGTCACCATCCAAATCATTGTCCACGCCAGGCAGAGGCAAAGGGCTAGGGGCAGCAAGGATGTTCTGAGCAGCCAGAGCGACGCTCAGAACGCAAGAGAGTAGGGCAAGTGAGATCTGCATCGTGTACAAAGTATACGGAAAGCGTCGCTTGCGTGGGGGATTGGGCCACTTGTCAAGCATCACGATCCTTTTGTACGTTGGAGGGACGTTCGAATCGTCGCACAGCCATGAACATGAACGAGAGATGGACTGCGCGTTTGCAGCCATGACGGAAGCGCTGTGAAGCAACGGCAGTCGCGGCTAGCGCTCGTACCTACATCAGCACGGCGGGCAAGGTAGCTAGCTGCACAGAAGACAGAGGTCGACTTTTGACTATGCCGAACACAAACACAGTCTGCGGCCCACCAACGTTGAGCAACGCAATAGGGAACGTTCCTATGCGCGTTGTGGAGAAGCGTGTTTGCCCGCCGAGAGAAGTGATGTGCAAGAAGAATCGCATCACGCACGGCGGAGAAACGTAGCTTGGTGCCTTTTTCACGCTAGCTTCTCACAGCGCATTGTCATTGTGATTTGCCTGTAGGTACCTAACACCAATGTGAATACGATTGCCCGCAGGTGAACCAACCGTCCGCCTTGCAGCACGGCTATGTGCCCGCCACTGACACTTACTAACTCAAGCTGCTACTACTACTGCTCGCACCACCCTTCACGATGCTTATATGCATTTGGATTCATGATTTTTGATGTGCCATCATCGACCGCGTTCTGCGCACGTGCAGAG